ACCCCAGCCAGGTGACAACCAGGCTACACAGAAAACAATACTTTTCCTAAGTAAGATCCAGTAGGATGGAAAGGCGAGAGACTGGCCCTTGTCTGCCCCATTGGCTTTAGAATTTCTGGTCATCTTAGTCCAACCAACAGCTAAAATGACAGAATTGCTACTGAGTCATATACAGTAATATGACGGAGATAATCTACCCTCTCAGGAAAGAAAATAAGTTCAAACTAAAGAGTCTATAACTGTAGTTCTTCTTAGGGTGGTTTTATTTTATACCTAATGAAAACAGTGTAATTGTAAGACAAAAAAGAAAGATCTAAGTTTCTTCTATTAAACTGCATTTTTGCTTGAGATAAATCTAAGGAATTGCTTTTTTATCAAAAATATGTAACTTGTCTGGATAGCTACCTGAGGGACTCTTCCTTTTCCCCCCAGTTGGGCAACTTATTTCAGTGGGGCTCCTATAGGGATAATAACCCACACTGATCAATCCTACCAAAATTTATGAATGTGTCTACCTTTGTGCATTCTGAATAGCCCTGAATAGCAAAGTATCTACAATGGTTACAGGGTAAATGCAGGATGGTATTTTCCTAGAGGTCAGTACAGTCCTTAACACAAATTTCCGAGCCTTGACTCTGCTTTATAGCACTTTCACAATAAAGTTAAATAATAATCCATGGAATGCCCATCCAGTTTCAGGCATTATTTTCTATTTTTCTTTAATCTTGTTCTCTTACCTCAATTTTCTGTTCAGTTATGTTAATTAAGTAACTTGTTGACTTTAGTTGATATTTAAGGTTCCACTAGTTTTAAGTTAAGTTGATGCAGATACCACCAGCCCCTTTTATACTTATAATTACAAATGCATACAATATTTTGGAGAATGCAATCTTCCTCTCCAGTCCAGTCACAAAGAATGACAATACAGAAAATGCACCTTTGCTGAGTCATTGGCAGAGCTTACTTACCACTCACTGTAATTTGTCAAGAGTGTGGCCTCTGAACAAGCAGTGGCCACCCCAAAGAAGAACAGAATGAGCCAACCAATGGACGTACTTGGTTCATGAATAGAACGTCAGCTACTCATGACATATAAAAGAAAACTATATAGAAGATTGAGTCTAAGATTCCATGGCTGAACATTATGAAATATGAATTACAGTTTATAAAATGAATACCTTTATATTTATTCTATGGATTTCTTTTAATAATATTATACTTTTTCTTCACAAATTACAAAAAAGAAAATATGCACAAAACTTAAGGTGCTATAGGTTTAGCCATTCTGACTTGAACATGTAATCATACTTTGCTTGCATTGTAAAATCTGATATCTATGCATTTTACAGCTTTCTGGAAACCAGATTTTCTGAAAATCTACTTTGTAGCTTCCTGTGTAGTAATCAAACAGCTCTTTAAGTTTTTATGCCAACAATGTCACTTCTCATGTAACAACAGTACTTACCACATTTACAAAATCTAGATTTCTCCTAAATACAATATTTTACAAATATTTATAATGATTTTCATGGAGATGACTAAGAGCAGGGCTCCATCATGTTAGGCACTGTACAAACATGAAACAAGAAACAATCACTGCCCCGAAGGACTTACAATCTAAACAGGTAAGACACACATAAGGTAGGGGAAAATAATAAAATGCATAAGCATAGTGAACAATGGCAACAAACGTTATGGCCAGGTACAGACATTACACTTTTACCGGTCTAAGTTATTGGAAACCAGTCTAAACCCATAATAGAACAGAAGTTTGGTGCACGTAGCCTGGTCTAAAAATGGCAGACCCTGGTGTAAAATAGACCTGGATTGATGTGCACTCAAACTGAATCAATTTAGGTTAGAGCGACCAGTGCATCGAACTTCACTCCCAGTTTCCCTATCTATTCAAGTTACATCACTGTCCACTGGCTTCCCAAGCTCCTTTGTGGACCCCTGCTATTCCCCGCCCCCCGCCGGGAGGCACACTAGTACTAGCCCCCCCATCACAAAGTACCCCCAATGTAAATGCAGACCTGACATTGAGCCCAGGAGAACCCCCGTGAGTGGGCATGACCCCATGGAGCCTGAGCAGACAATTGGGCACAGGCAAGCATTCCCCCTCCCTCTGCCATGTCATTTTGCAGGCAGGTAGTGCAGTGGTGAGGGGGTGGGTGGCAGGGGGGAGGAATTGCTTGCCCATGCCTAGTAGCCTCACGGGTCTGCGCCTGCTCTCAGGGGCTCTCCTGGACTTAGTGTCAGGTCTGTGTGTACATTGTGGGGTGCTTTGTGATGGGGTTCATGCAGGGACACTAATGCCTCCCTCCTCCCCTCCCCCATGCTGCAAGCCTGCAGCTGACAGATGCCTGTGGTTGATAGGCAATGCAGCAGGAGGAGGGGGAAATGCTCACCCATTCTCAGCAGCCAATCAATGGTGGCCTGGCTGTTTAGCTGTGCCCAGTAGTCTCTGGCAGCCCAGGGAGCCTGCAGGGCCTGCTGGGAGGTCTGCAGGAGTGCCCCCAACCTGCTGGCCTTGGCTAGCGCAGGCAGCCTGTGTGCCCCCCCACCAAAGGATGAATGTGCATCCTGTTCACTACTGATCTAACCTATGACACTTACAGAAAACAGTGTAACTTAAATTCATTCCACCTCAAGCTTTTTGAATGTCTGTACTTAGCCTATGTTAGTATACTGGATTATCTCCTGGCATGTCCAGATTACATTTAATATAAGCACTTACACAACACAAAACTCGATGTAGAAAAGTGCATAATAGGAAGATGATCCCAGAAAACACCGTTTTCTTTATTAATGAAATTCTAATTCCAAAATTGATATAAGGACCATAAGCACTAAATAAAAAATCTGATGAGACAGGTACAGTAATACTACATATAAACCTTCAGTGACATAAACAAGGACTGCAATTGATATCTTTTAGTTCATCATGAAGGAACTTAGATGGGGTTAATGAAATTGGTATTCATTTTTTTTATCACATTTGCATTTGAGATTAATTCTCAAAAAAAAAAAAAAAGTTTTTAAAACACATCTACCCTGATTCAAGAATTATTTACTTCCAGCACCAGTGGGTGTGACAAAAAGCTCAGCAATTGCTTTAGACAACAAAATAATGTTGTGTTGCTCTTTGCAGCAAACAATAAGGCATCTTGTAAAAACTTACATGTATGCCTAACATCCTTACATATATGCATATCATAAAGCACACTGAGTCACCACACTGAAGTTAAAAGGATTACTCAAAGTGCTTAAATTTATATATGTGCAGAAATTCTTGATCATGAAAGCAGTAATATAGATACTTAACCGAAGTGCTAGTGCATCAGTCATTAAGGTCTCTAAGTGAGATCCTATTCCAGTCTGTTCAATTCCTTGATGAAACCTTAACACATTCACTTTGGAACACACCTTCATCTTAGCCCTTACGCTAAGTCAAAACAAACAAACAGTGAAGAGAAGAAGGAGCTTTCATATTAACAGTTTTTCGGGGACTCAAGCAGGGTGGAGTAGATTGAACTTTAGATACTTAGATGTCAAAGTGCCACTTAGGTGCCTAATGGGATTTGGCCCTTTACATTTAACATCATGTACGTGAGTTGTCAAGTTGCCTTCAGTGGGACAACTAACAGAAGTAAACATACACATATGTAAATTTGTGCAGGATTAGGGGCTAATTTAGTAGAATATGGAGAGCTCTCTATTACAATATAGTACAGTATATCATAATATACCGTAATATATTACCCCTGATTCAGTAAGGTACGAGTCCATGTATTTAAGTCCTCTCATATTTCAGTGTATCTACTCATGAGCTTAAAGTCAGGTATATATGTATCTTGTTGAGTTAGGACCATATCTAGGTATTGTTTTCTAAAGCAAAGTTGTAAGTTTTTAGGAGAAACCACTGTAAAATTTGTTTAATACAAAACTGGGAAAACTGTGATTGGACAATTATCACAAAAATCCTTCTGCTGATCTAAAACAAGTCTATGCAACCAAGCAACATCAATTGCAGTTGGATTTATTTTTTGCTTATACAGCCTCCCAAAAAGACTTTCAAGCAGAAAACAAACCCTCCTTTATGTACAGACCTTCAAAAGGTTCTATCTCCTTGTCTCCATTGTCTAGGGAAAATAAAAATAAAACAAAAAAGGGAACCAAAGCACAGCGGTTAAAAACAACTGAAATTTTATAAAAGGTACAATATGCATCTTTGTATGAAAAAAACCAGTGTATATGGTCATTGGTGGGTTTTGCAAAGCACATTTAGGTACTATAAATAGAAAAGCTGAAATCACATTTGATGGCAAATAAAAAATATTTCTATGATTTATAAGACACTGCAATATTTTTCCCCCTAACTGAACAAGGTTTTCATGAAGCATTGAAAATAAAAGCAATGACAGGTTCAGTCCAATGTGCATCACCAAATATCTTGCTGACGTTTTTTTTTATTACCTTTTTTAGTTGTTCCTTATTATTTCAAGAGGCATCACCATATTTGTGCATCTGATAATCACCCTGTATTTTGGGTGATTTTTATTTACTGTGCGCATGCTTTTGACTTATCAGCTAACACACATTGATCCTGACCCTGCAAAAGATTCTGCTATGCTGTTAACTTCCAGTATAGTGAGAATTTTATTAATAAAATGCTAAACAATATGTATAGGACTTTCTCTGGCTCATACTGAAATTAATAGAGTAGGAACAGGATTGATTCAGTACATAGTACATTTTGGTCTCTGTTTATTGTGTTGCTTTGATGATATATATTAGCATCATTTAAGACAATAAGAGATGATGAAACAGACTGAAAGTATCAAATGACAATATAAAATACAAAACAACTGGAAATCCTGAAATGATCCAAAGAAGAATTTTAAGTTCTATTCCCTCAATAGTAAATCATAACCAATCCTTCCTTCATTTTTGAACTCCCCTAGCAATTCTGAAGTCACGTTAAACAAAAACACACTTACTTCTCTCCATTGTCCCTTTCGGTGGGAGCTGGGGTAACTGCCTGCCCCTTCGTCCTGCTACTGGAGTGCTTGATGGGCTTGTTTGGACAGACCCAGTTCGGGGATGTGACCTACAGGACACACATCAAAACAAACCATGGCCATTAAAAGCCACATTCATTGTTAGATACCCATGACAGCTGATAAAAATAAGATTGTTTTTGGTGCGCTTGTGATACTGTAGTGAAACTGCTGTCTTTTTCATAGAAAGACCTGATTAAAAAGAGAAATTTATGTTTGAAAAAATGCCAAAATAAAACTCAACATCAATAAGATAGATGTATATATAGCTAAATCTGCATATTGTCTTCATGTGAATATTCATGCATACATGAATATATTGCACACATATGAACAAAACCATCTATAAGCCAAATTGTAATATTTTTACTCAGTTTACACTCAGGTAAGCTCCTACTGAATAAACAATGAATTCCTGGGGCCTGACTAGGCAAAAATGAAATAACAAAAATAGAGGAATGACATCAGGATTAGGGCCTGAATATAATTCACTTTCAGAAAACAAAAAAGCACACATTTCATAGTACTAGAATAAGTTTAATTCAACTTCCTACTCAACCAAATTAACTCCATATATATATCTGTATAATCTTTACTTTTACTAATGTTAATTTACAGAAATTATTACAAACTTCATCAATAAAAATATATTGTTGTACTCAAAACAGAAACAAAACAGACTATGGCACAGTAAAATGTAGTCAGAGAAAATGGTGGTTAACACAAAGTTAGTACAATCCATTTAAAGAAACTTTTTTTAAAAAAAATAGTTTCATTTAATGTTATGATGGTTGTTCCATAAGCGATGTCTAATGGACACAAACAATTTTTCATTCTGTAAGAGAAGAATATGATAGTTATGAAGTGCTTTATGTGGGAAACCACCCAGGATTCCTGATAAATGAGAAATCACAAAACAAATGTAGTTAAATACTGTTAGTAAACAAATTACAATGGCAGCCACACCATTATATCCACAGCTGAATATAAATAGTGTGTTGGCACTGACAGGGTTAGTATCTACTGCTACTTGTGATCAGCCAAGGATGGAAGGCGATACCAATTAGCTACTGGGAAAATAAAATGGTGAGTTGGTGGGGCAGAAGGGGATTAGTCTGATTGATTTGTCTGTTTCACCTCGATAAGGCAGGTGAAGGAGGGGCTGATCTTCCAGTCATTAATGAAGGCATCGACCTCATGAGGTTTGAGTCAGGACGCTCTGTGGATCGGGAGCGGGAGTTGGTCCGCTCTAATACAGGACGTTGTTCTGTTGATCTGGATCTTTGATATGGCTGTCTATCTGCTGCTTCACAATTCCTGTAATGTTAGTCAAAAAGCATCTCAGTTGACCTTTAGCTTTTCTATTAGTTATAAAATACGCTGCATTATGGGTACTGGTTTGGAGAAAAATCATTGTTAAATACATTTTGAACAATGTTTCTGAGTTCGCTTCTTGATAACATACAGATTCAAACTATTGATAAATGGGCTGAAATATTTTCAATGTCTCAATAATGACCATACATGCTGTTATAGTGCAATTTTTGGTTAAAAAAAAGTATTGTTATCTTAATCAGCGCACCAATTCTCTAACAAAAATATAAATTTGATTACAGATTAATCCTAGTTAAAGTTAATAAAATGCCTGATTCTGAATTCTCACTCATATGAGTAGTTCAGTAGCTCTTATGGACTACATTAAATAGTACTACTCGCTTAAGCAAAGGTTTACAGAATAAGACCCACAGTAAATTATGACAACCTCAATACATTTTAATTATAGTCTATTGATATCAGCTGTAATAGTTAACTTCATCAAAAAGGTCAAGGATATAGGCCATGAACCAAGGATGGCTTCATACAATTGAAGCAGTCAAATTTCTGGTTGATGAAGAGGTGTACAGCCCAAATAGTACAGGGTGAGAATGAATTTATTTCTAACATTTGTGCTGTTAGAAATACTGAGGAATCCTAGGCTATAAAATATTTGGCTCTTGGAATAAAACAGCAGAAAGTTTAGTTAACAAAAATACACTGATTCAAAGTAAACCTGAAGATTTTCTGTAAAATATTTTCCCTTCTTTTAACCTAAATTATGGCACCAACATAACGATGGAAGGAGGAAAAAATGGAGAATTGACACAAAGAGGATTGGCCAAGGTTAAAAGGAGGTTTAAAAACAAGTCATTCCATTAAGATACAGAATAAAATTGTTAGAAGGACTTAAGTTAATTTCTACTTAAATATTTACTTGGTTTATGTAGCACATCTGTATTTTAAGAACAGGACTAGAAAGGATCTTCTGGATTATCCCAGACACACTCATCATAAGATATATACCATAAACTGACCATCACCACTTAATGTCATAATCTTACTTTGCAGTATTTAAAAAAAGCTAAACAGGAAAAGAGGAATAACTTGGATAACAGTACCCTTAAATACATAAAACTATCAATAAGAAATTTTTAAAAATGAATTTTATACATTGATTAGGCTTATTCTGTTATAACTGGCACCCCTCCAGCAACAATGGAGTTTATCAAATTGCCACAGAATTGTACAGCATTAACCTAAGCGGAAGTGGAATTTTTAAACCACTACCTACAACTAAGTCCTATACTTTTCAATGAAATTAGTTAAGAAGAAGAATGAGTCAATGGTGATTAAATGCAACAAAAAACCAAGTTTTAATTAGTATTAAAAGAGAGAGACCTACCAGAGGCAAACTCATTATGAAGAGTCTTATGTTATTAACAGCATTAAATTTCTAAAAGACTGTACTGAGACAGCAAAGTTTTCTCTAGGGCTGAAAACTTAGCCACATGCTTTGATAAAAGAGTCATTAAAATGAACGTCTGTTCATGCCTTCCATGAGGTAGTAATTGGATTCCTAGAGAAGAAAATGAAATTCCCACAGACTCCTTCAGAATAATACTGACCACCAACAACCTACATGTACAGCTCCTAGCAAGCAAACACACTACAATAAGACACATAATGGTGATTATAAACTGAACACACTAAACATCAGGGGAAAAGTACAACTAGCTTGGCACAAAACTACACGGATTACCTCAATTCTTCTTCTGGCTCTATCAGTTCAGTTTCTGAGTGGGAAGCTTGATCTGCCAAAACATCCATTGTCTCGCTTCTTTAACATTGTGGATAAACAAAGAAGTGCAACCTTAGCTTTGTAATAGATGTTACTTAGCTTAGATAACCATTTAAGAAGGTTTCAATGTTACAAATGGTGAGAAAGGGAATCAGGCATCCATATGTTGATGAAGAAACAACTTTTCTTTGACCATAAAACAAATTCTAAGGAAAGAATTCCTCCCCAAATTTGAAATTTAAAAAAGTGCATGCCTAAGGGCCATGGGCACATGTCAAAGAAAGAGAGCAAGCCCAGGGCACTCTGCCTGAGTTCTCTCTCTTTCTAATCCTTTTGTCTTCCACACTGGGGGCAGGCACATTCTCTCCAGTACACCTTCTCAAGTAGGAAATTGATTGCACTGTGGGTGAAGAATAGCCAAGAGAAGGAGGGGGGGTGAAGTGACACTGGGCAATGCAGGAATTGTCAAAGGTTTCTCCTTCCCACTGGCCAGTCAGAGGGACTGAGGAGCTGATTCATCCTGAGCACCCATCCACTAATTGAACCTGATTAGCCTGTATTCCTCCTCATGCACAATTCACTGAAATGCTTGCCCAGGAGTCTTGAGTCTCTTCATCTGCCTTACTGCCCTTCCCTCAGTCTCTTTAACTGTCATATAAGTGTTGTGTTTTTAGGATTCTGTGGGTCAGGTTGCTTAGTTCTTGTGTCAAGAAATGTTTTTTTTCAGTTGATGCCAAAATTGGCTGAGGCTTTTTTTGGTTCTTCCTCACAGCATTAATTACACACAGCTAGATTAATATGTGAAGGATAGGGTCAGATTCAACTGACCTCTAATGCAACTAAATAAGATCAAGGCAGAAAATAAGCATCTAAATCACAAAGAGTAATCTAAAATGACCCCACTCTCTACTTGTCTTTAAAACAACCTTACAAAATCCCCCTAAAAATCACTTAGGCTAAGGACAGAAATTACACAAAAACTCATATAAGTAATCAGAAACCGGTTCAAATCTGTAACACAACAGAAATTCAATGCACATAAACCTCTTTCAAAATGGCTGAAACTGGTTTAAGATAAACGTGGATGGATATAGTATCAGACTTAACTGATTTAGGTTAAATCTGTCTATTGAACTTCTGTCCCAGGTCCCCTCCAAATTCAAGTTAACTCACAGTCTCCCAGCATCCTAAGATGCTTTGCACCTCCCCCACAAACCATCCCTCACAGGTGGGCAAGCTAGCCTTGGGCCAAGCTGTATGCTCCAGCCAAGAAGGGAGGCATGCTCTAGCTTCCCTAATACTGGCTTCTAGTCTGGGTCACCACAGGCATGTGGCTGCATTTCTAGAATCAAAAGTGAATGTTTTGGTTATTGGTTCAATCTATGCACCTTATACTAATCTGTGAAGTTTGAATTGATTCAGCCTCAGGCTTTCTGATTGTCTGTACTTAGCCTTAAGCACACAGTTCTTATGGCGCATCCACTTTATCCTACAAAGACCTCTCTGCACCTAGACTTCAGCTACAGTGCATGCTCAAGAGCAATCCAGATCAAGCACCTAGGTACACAAAAAGCAGTGCTGGGAGGCACGTAAACTCTGCTTGAGTCCTCAGTTCCTTAGATCATGTGAAGATCATGACAGATGATGCTAAGTGACTGCTTGATACAGAACACATTATACAAAACACAGTCCTTACAGCAGAAGGTGGTGCTGGTGCCCACATATTGTTCAATAGCTTGGTGGAAAAAACCCTTTTGTAGGACGTAAGATGACTGGGTTCTAGTCCCTCTATACTTTGAGGGGCTCCAAAGCTACATGTCCCGTTTACTGTGCCCTAGGTGCCATTCCTCTGAAAGGACTGGTTGTGGAGCTAGGGCTACTCTACGTCTGGTGAAGCTGGCCAAAAGGGCAGCCAAAAGTGAAGAGTCATGATATTAAAAGGAGAGCAAGCAAGAGGAAGTGTGGCAACAGCACTGCCATTAAATAGTGCTAATTATCTGCCCCAGAGCCTGACAGAGGGTGCGCCTACATGTGCATTTACTCCAGCCTAAATTTACTGAGCAGTAAGCTACCGCAAAGTAAGGGTTTTTGGGTAGGTGTCTACACATGCAGAGATTAGGGAGATTTCCTCCCAGCTCTCTGCAGTTCTGCAATGGCCCCCTGCTTGCTACCAACAGGAACTAGCCCAGCAGCTAGCAGAGAGCAGTGGGCCAGGAGACAGCTATCTCCTGGCCCTGGAAGGCTGCCTGATGCTGGGGCAGGGACAATGTCCACCTGCCCCAGCAACAGGGAGCTCCTGGCCCTGGCTTCCCAATCAGGGGTATGGGAATTGGAAAGAGCTGCAGGGGTGGGGCAGGTCCCAGCCCCCTGTCCCAATCTGCCAGTGAGGCAGCTAGCAGCTAGCTCACTGCTAGCTGGCCCACCAACAGATTGGTGCAGGGGACTGTCACCTACCCCACTCCTGAAGCTCTTTTCAAGCCCTGTGCCTTGATGACTCAATTCAGACATGGGGCTGGAACCTGGCCCTGACTTGGACAGTTCCTTGCCAACCCCAGGCTGCACAAGGAAGTCTGCATGTGCAGCCTGGAGCTCACTGGGGACTGCCTGAAACAGTCCCCAGCCACCTCCAGGCTGCACGTGCTTCCCCGTGCAGCTTGGGGCTGGCTGGGAACTGTCCCAGCCAGGGGCAGGTCCCAGCCAGCTCCAGACTGGGCAGGGAACTGTCCCTGTGCAGGGAGCTCCCAGCCCCTGCTCCACAATCACAACTGTGATTGCAGAGTGGGGGCTAGTATCAAGCTCCTAGCTTCTTCCCAGCCCCAGCTACATGACTGCAAAGTGGTGAACAGGGGCTGAAAGTTCCCTGCTGCTGGGTCAGGGGGACATTTTTCCTACCCAGGCATGCAGGGCAAGGGCTGGGCAGCTTGTTCCCCACCTAGCTCCCCTGCCCCCACCAGCAGGGAGCTCCCAGTGCTGGCTCCACAGTCATGGGGCTTGGGCTGGGAGACCCTTATCTCCCAGTAGCACCTCCATGACTGTGGGACTGCTGCTGGGAGATGCTTATCTCCCATCCTGATCTCCATGGTCATGGGGCTCAGACTGGGAGAGAAGGATCTCCCAGCCTGAGCCCCATGACAACAGGGCTTAGGCTGGAAGATAAAGGTCTCCCAGCCTGAGACCCAAGTCCATGGAGCTCAGGCTAGGA